ATGATTGACGAAGACTCAGCAAGGATTGCTCAGGGTTGCATGGTGGTGCGTGGGGGACCTATTCGCACAAATCTACAACCACAGCTTCAAAGCAATCCTCCTACAGCTTCCATTGACACCAACTTACGAAGCCATTCTATTTGCCTCTTCAAACGAACTGAAAATTATTCCAGCATTGAGATAGAAAATGTTTGATTTGAATGCGAATTATTCTTTAAAAAATCATTTAACAACTTGGACCTAAAGGGGGTTTAATTAAATTTTCTACTCTAGCCTGGATTAAGGAACACTTAGAGCGTAACTTGCTGAAATTTTGAATCTTCATTATAGTTTTTATGCTCCTATTATATAATTATAAAAGAATGTACTTATGCTAGCTGACTTATTTTCTTATTTGAGCTTGCATTTAGACGCTATAGCTACATCGGGACCAGACTAGTTAGATCACATTGTGATTAGCTAAAAGCATCATGTATTTATAAGCCAGTTAATCAGGCACAAGTAAATTCTAATTTTATGTGTCGTCTCACACACGCAAAGCATTCTCAAATATAGGTTACTCTTGACAATAGGCCTGCTTCCACGTATATTATACAAGAGCTTTAGTAACCTCCAAATTTTCTCACGGTCAAATAATTAGGCCTATTCATGTCCTTATATTTCATATATCTTTGCTCCAAAAGGCTTTCTAAACAGTCATTTGATTGTTGAATTAGCCACTAGACTTAAGTACATTGCAGAGTTTGTTTCGAGATTATTGCTATAACTTATATGAGCACTTCGTCAACTTAGATCACATAGGGCTATATTTAATTCATAATTGAATTTTCCAGCTCCTCATCCCAGAATTCTACATCCGTTACTCGTAGGCTACGGATGATCATGCTCCTCATTATTCCAATCTTAAGCGTGTAATTGTGATGGGACCATAAAATTGAGTATTATCCCAGCATTGGACTTCTTTCTGAACAATTTCTTTTTGAGCGTCCCATTAGAACGAATCACTTCAACGTCCAGGAACGGTGACCGCTTACCTTCCTCTACTTCCATCTTGAATTGAATTTTTTCATCAATTTTATTTGTAAACTTCAGAAACTCTTCCAGTTTTTCTCTTACATGTGACCAAAGTGCGAAGTAATCATCCAAGTACCGCATTAGCACTGCCGGTTGTAGCGGTGTCATCTTGAAGCTCTCTTCCATTTTGTTCATGTATACATTGACTAAAATTGGTGAGAGCGGCGATCCCATGGGAAGTCTAAATATTTGTTCATAGATGTTACCGTTGAATGTAAAATAGGTTGTTCTTATTGTCAAGTTGATAAGCCTTGTTAAGGACTCCCTACCGATCCGTTGTGATTCCAGGATATCATCCTCTCGGTCCAGGATTTCCAGTAGGGCAGTTAGCGCATTTTCTCTAGAGCTATTTGTATACATGGATTCCACACCGAAACTTACCAATAAGTCTGTTTGCTCAAGTTGCATGTTTTTGATTTTTTGAGAAAAATTATATGAGTGTTTCACTGTGTAAGATAGCCTTTCATTTAATTTCTTGAGCTTCAAGTATATAAACTTTGCTAATTTGTGTGTTGCTCCATACTTGTTGACTATCAGCCTTAGTGGCTCGCCTTCTTTGCGTATCTTCGGTAATCCGTATGCTGTTGATGGTCGTGCATCCTTTCTTATGATTGAATTTATTGTCTATGCATCAATTTCCCCATTCCTATGTATATCTTTCAGCATGCCACTTAAGATTCCATTGATCTTCATAGTTGGATCCTTGTTTAATACACGATATGTTGTCCTGTCTCTTAGGATATGTTCCATCTTCTCGGTATATTGTTTTTTGTCCATTATAACTGTAGCTCCACCTTTGTCCGCCTGAAGGACTAATTGTTCATTTCTTTCTAGGGTTTTGCGTATCATGGCAAATCTGTTCCTGTATGTAGGCTCCTGATGTGTCAAGATCTTTGGAATTAGTTCCATCTCCATTTCCCCTTTTGTCTCTTTAGATAACTTGTGAGTGATATTGATAACCTCAACCAGGATGTCTACTAGAAGGCTTCTGTGATGTTGAATTTAAAAATTGAGTCCTTTTTCCAGGAAAGCAGTTGTTTTGGGATTGCTAGGAATTGATGACAAGCTTAATACTTTCCTTCTATCGCTGTGCTGATCAATAAGTGTTTTCACCTCGAAAGCCACTTCAACTGGGCGTATTTACTTTAATCTAGGCTGCCTAAAAATCCCAAACTTACGCTATTTATCGTCATGCCGTTTTGTTATTAAGTCAGAAATCCTACGTAAATTTCTGTTGGTCATGCTCTGGAGTTTTGCAAAATCTTCAGGAGACAGGATCCTGGCCAAATCATGCCGGAGCATTGACTTAATATCTATAAACTTAAACAACTTAAAACGTTCAGTATCATAGGTCTCACTCAGTTTCTGCATAGATGCCTGGTGGAGATGCTCATTAACCTTATTTGTGGTAGGGTCTCTTAAGGTCACAGAACTTAGGAGTGATACCATAACGTTTACAACAGTTTAAAAAGGTAATATGGGAAGATTGACTCACAATTGTCTTCTTTGTTCGGCTGTATTCAGTGCATTGATTAGCAATTTTACTACCGTAGTTTAATTGAAGATATGAAGATCAAAATTTTGTGGCCTCTGGTATGATCACAGTCCGCTTTCGATTTATAGAAGTGGGTTAACCTCGTTGTGGCAATTTGGTCTTGTGATCAGGGAGACAATGTAGAACGCATCTAGTCTGAAGTCGTCTGCCATAGTAGTTGTCATGATTCCCAGCATCTGTCAGTAGACTTGATACATTCTCAAACGTTTCTCCTGCACCATATTCGGCATCATCAGTGAGTTTTGGCATTCGCCGCACCAAGCTACGAACTCGTCAAAGATAGTGTAACCGTTTTCGGCAGAACGTTTGTTGAGGAATTGGCTTCACTTGTCTCTTTGACGAGTTCGTAGTTTGGTGAGGCGAATGGCAAAACTCATTGATGATGCCGATGATGAATTTTCTCAAAGGATCCAGAAAATTGGGTTAGTGGGGTCGAAGCTGTTGGTGAGTTTCGGTGTACAATTCATGTACACAAACATCTCAGGTGAGAAGGCGATAAGCGCCTTAATGGAGATATTGGAGCGTGAAGAGGACATCCTGGAGGCAGAACGGATACGAAAGGAGTCGTTAACACGACTAATCGACCTGACAGTTATGACAACATATTTCACATTTAACGGCATTATCTATAAGCATATATTTGGACTACCGATGGGATCACCACTCTCACCTCTTTTGGCAAATGTATACATGGACAAGTTGGAAAAAGAATTTAAGAAGTCACCACTGCAACCAAGAGTGCTCATGCCATACTTGGATGACTACTTTCCACTTTGGTAAGGAAAATTTAAGTGAATTCCTCAGTTTCAATAACCAACTTGATGAATTAATTAAATTTACAATGGAGGTGGGGGTAGATGAACGACTACCCTTTCTGGATGTTGAAGTCATACACTTCCGAGGGACATTCATGATGAAACTATACAGAAATAATTCGTATGCGGGAATAATTCTTAATTTCCAGTCTCATCATAACTACAGACTGAAGATCGGAATACTGAGGAGTTTGATCCTCAGAAACTTACGACTAACAGATAAAGAGTTCTGGGACGAGGAGTTAGACAAACTGACCCGGATTTGTCTAAGTAATCGATACCCCAGAGAATTCATCGAGAAAAATGTAGAGATTATAAAGGGACGATTTCAACTTGGATTTTATGAAAATCAAATCAGATCACCGGTCTGCAACCACAACACGAGAAGACGGATAATCTTGAGTGTTCGGGAGTTTATCGCATCAAATGCGGCAGCTGTGAGCAGAAGTATATCGATAAAACAGGACGAAAAATCGGCCTAGAATCAAGGAACATCAAACACTTTGCAGGAACATGGATACACAAAGATTAGAAATAGCGGAATACATTGCATGGACGGGGCATGAAATCGACTGGAAATCGACCGATATCGTGAAAACATGAGAAAACACAAGATCCGAGAGGCCATTAATATACTGATTGAGAGGAATCTAATGAACAGGAGACTTGAAGAAGGCAGGACCAGCGAAAACTTTGTATATTACCTAAACAAACTCGGATAAGACCAGGCAACAGTAAGATCAGCAAAAAGGAGACGACTGAATCAAGGTAATATCCTTAATTTTAGGAAAAGAGATCGTTGGGGGATGAGAAAGGATGAATCAGAAGCAGAGGAGAGGTCTTCAGTTAGCCTTATCAAAACAAGTAGAACCACGACATTTTAGGTTGGAACACAATATACTAGGACATAGGAAGC